TATAACGATGCACAAGTCTGCAGAGTCTTCAGGCTTTCAGATCTGCTGGTCCGTATCGGTTCCAAAGTTTATCCGAAGTCCGCGACACGTGAACGACTCGTAAAAGCGATACTACAAACTAAAATATGTAATAGAGCGTTTTCACTCACGTGGTCAGCAGCCATGTAAACGTGTTGGAACAAAAGAAACTGTTTACATATGAAAAGAGTTCAACTCACACAGGATTGGTTTGGGACACAAACATGTTGTTGGACGGAAACAGGGACGGGGATAAGGATAAGGATGATAAGTCAAAAATTTGGGAGGAACTCTCTCAATAGCTAGTTGCAGATTTGTTTTTAATTAGTTTTCCAATTTCTGAGTTTTAATAATCTTAGTTTTCCATCACCAGTCACTGAGACCCTGTTCCAGCACTGAACTGGAAAAATAAAAACTAGAATAAAGGAGATTTCCCACAAGTGAGAGTTTTAGTTTAACGAACGCTAAGCTAACGTTAGATAGCTTGATCCCTGGACATTTCAGTAATTCGTGTTGCTGTGCTAATACGTTGTTACTTTTTTCTACATGCAAGAGTAATACAGTTTTAAGTATCTTCTGTTTCCGCCACATGGAGCCCGAAATAACTTGTTCCATGGTTTTACAAAACAGAGACGTTTCCCCTCGCACCACATCCTCAGCTTGTGGTAAGCATTTGGAGCTGAACAGGTTTGTGTGTGTGTGATTCCACAGGCACTCTCACCACTGATGTAACCATAGTGGACCCAATGAATTCTTATCCTCCGAAACAGACCACACCTAATAAGGGTCCCCATATGACCACGTTCGCATAGCACCAATCTTGTCCCTGGAAAAAGGAGCAACAATCACAATATCTATTCTGTCGATTTCAAAAAATGTTCCCGCAGAAGTTTACAGTTTAGTATTCTACTATTCTAGTAAGGGTTTGCACATGAATCAATCTTGTCTCATAATAAAGTGCCGATATAACAAGCGCTCTCATTATGAACTCATTATAAGAGTGTAAAGCGCGCAGCTTACGAATCATGAAGGACGCGAACGCTATCTTGCCCCTTCCCACTTGTGCGCCTGGATCTTTCGATCACTACAAAACTTGCTTATTTCGCAAACCGAAAGAGGAATTTCATGAGCACCACCAAACCGAACTGACTTTTTGTTAAGCAATAAACCAAGAACTCATCAACATCTAACTCATCTAAGTGACAAACTAAACATTGCCTGGTATTTTGTACTTTCGGGTGAAAGAAAGTAAAACTCTTGTGAGATCTTACTTGAGAGATGTAATCATCATTGTCATCTAGTCATTATGCAATGCTGCCTGATATTTTTATATCGCTTTGCTAAGCTAGACATACCAAGAGGGCAGGGGTCTGTGTTGCAGGATTGTGACATCACTTTCTGTCCTGTACACGTCTTGCCATTGTGTTGTGGTGGAGGGTGATTACAGTATCTGTATCTGGTCTGAGTTCCCCCTCCACAAGTCTTCTGACACGTACTCCAGCTGTTCCATGAACTCCAGCCACCATTAACTGTGTGAGTTTCAAAACTAAATTCAGTAATTCTCCAGTTACAAGTGATACTCCATCTATCAATCGTTCCTTCTTTCATTTCTCTTTTCCTTCCAACCTTCCTACTATAACTGTACCTGGGCAGGGTCCGAGGTTGCAGGTGTGGGTTAAAAGGGATGCTCCGATGCATTTCCTGCCGCCGTGTGCGGGCGAAGGATCATTGCAGCTGCGTTTACGTGTCTGAACTCCAGCTTTACAACTCACTGAGCACGCGCTCCATGCAGTCCAAGGGCCCCACTGACCATTCACTATGGAAGCAAACTAAATCAACCTGACTGAATGTACTGAAAAACGTTCTTTGCGTTATGACATGGTTATTTAAATGTACATGATATAGACAGTAGAATATGAATTAAAACTGAGCGTTAAAAATAATCATTGTTTCCAATACTTAACCGTGATCACTTCATCAACCACATCTGACAGTTTTGAAGACCAAACGTCATGCAAATTACTAGAATCCTCATTTCCGTCAGTTATGAGTAGTATAGGGCCATTGGAATTAACCTTTTTTGAGCAGGAATCTCGTTAACGTGAGTAGTAAGTCAAGATAGATGACATCACAAATAAAGCACGATGAGCAGAGATTCCTGCTTAAAAAAAAGCTTAATTTCACTGGCTCTATACTACTCTTATGTGTCAGCTAAGACAAGACTTTAAGTGTTATTAATTTGCTAAACATTATTCATTAAAGCAACGTGGTCTCGACTCCTGTCTCCAAAGCAACTATTGTTGTTACATTTGAAAAGATCTGGATATACACAAATGTGGTAATGCAGGAGATTATTTAGGGAACTACGCAAAATAAGCATTATTTCTTGATTCTCCAGTAAATTTCCAAACCTGGGCATAACTGGACACAGCATTGTTTGGTTTCTATGGGAACTCCTTTGCAATGCTTTCCACCATTTACTGGTGCTGGATTGTTACAATCACGAACGCGCTTCTGAAAGCCTACATCACATGTCTTTGAACAGGGAGTCCATGTAGACCAGATAGACCAGCTTCCGTGCACTGGAAATAAAAAATTCAACAATAAACCAAGGACAAAATTCCCGGGGGTATTCCCTTATCTGGACTAAACCTGCGGGGACGTTCCGCTGGATAGCGTATGTTTTTTTAGCCTGTCCTGAGCAGGGTATACAATTTTGCTTGCCTCTGTCTTAAACTGGGTCGGAATCCGTCCTAAACAGGGTATGATTACGCGTTTAGTCCGAGATCAGAGACTTCAACTGATCTTCACAAGATCATCAGTCCACATCAGTACAAGAATGATGCTTTTGTTGTCCGTGTCCTTTGATTACATCAAAACAAACGCATTTGGACAGAAATAGATCGTACCGGTCGGTCTAGCTTCTTTGCGCACGTTGGATACCGTGATGAAAGAAAGATGTCATGACGATAGCAAAACACTTATACTTATCGGCGTTGCCGATAAGCTTGTTTGACTTTTTAGAGCTGTCTCCCGCCATGCTATGTCTTGCAGCTTTATGTCCTTTTTTGCGCCTTGATACGTGTTACTTCATGCCTGGGACTTCATGACCTTCATCTCTTGCCCTAAGTAGGGTCTTGAAATAGAGGGTGTTATCCTGCACCCCTATACCCAAACATGGTCAAGTATCCACACCCGGCCAAAATTATAAGTCTGGAAATCTGTTTCCCACTTTTCTTCAGAGCTCACTAATTTTTTTGATAGAAACTTTTAGTCATTTTTCCACAACAAATCTGGACACAATTTTAATCTACATCTTTTGGATTCCATGTCTATCCCTTTACAAGATTTTCCACCATTTGCTGGCGCTGGATTTGTACAATAACGCAATCGCTTCTGTAAACCTTCATCACAAGTACTTGAGCAGGGGGCCCAGGCAGACCAGGAAGACCAGTTACCATCCACTGAACCAGAATAACAATAACGATGAACAAAATAATGCCAATTAAAAACACACTAATGAAATGAGGAAATAAAATGATGATGAAACAAACAAATTAAGTGATGTTAGTCAGTCGTCAGTTAGCATGTCATTCAAACAGTCGGTCAATCGTTCCGTTAGTTAGAGTCAAAAGTCAATCAATCAATCAATCAGTTAATCAGTCAAACCTGGACATAATTTTAAACTGCAGCCCTTTGTTTCCATGGATTCTCCTTTGCAAGGTTTTCCACCATTTGCTGGAGCTGGATTTTTACAAGTGCGCAAGCGCTTCCGTAAACCTTCACCACATGTCTTTGAACAGAGAGTCCACATGGACCAGGTAGACCAGTTACCGTTCACTAACAAAGAGAAACAGAGAGAACAAAGCGAATTTATAGTCCTGGCCAAACGGACTCGTAAGAAGTGGCAAGTAGCTGCAAGTTTACCTTGCGTAGAGACTTGCGTTGGATGGCCAAATGGACTCGCAAATTTCTTCGCAAGTACACGCAAGTCGCAAAAAAAAAAAACATTTCAAGGCAGACATATCCCTTATTTCATTGACTCAGCTAATAGGTTGCTATAACAACGAATGGACGTCAATCAACTTGCGTTGACTTGAGTTGGGTGGCCAAAAGGTGAAAAACCTTAGTCGTCTTGCGTGCAAATCTGGTATCGACCAAAGTGAGGGCAAGTCATCGCAAGTTAACCCTAGTACACGCAACACATGGTCAATTGGAGTCACAAGTAGACGTGTCTACTTTCGAGTCCGTTTGGCCAGGTCTTAAAAGAGGGTAAGAAACACAAGTAGCAAAATGAATGTTTATTCGTGAATTCACTTATTTACTCATTCATTCAGTCAGTCAGTCATTTGCTTTCTCCGTCAGTCGGTCATTTGTGACATTTGCTTTCTCAGTTAGTCAGTCAGTCAGTCAGTTAGTCAGTCAGTCAGTCAGTCGGTCGGTCGGTCGGTCAGTCAGTCAGTCAGTCAGTTAGTCAGTCAGTCAGTTAGTCAGTCAGTCAGTCGGTCGGTCGGTCGGTCGGTCGGCCGGTCAGTCAGTCAGTCAGTAGGTCAGTCGGTCAGTCGGTCAGTCAGTCAGTCAGTCAGTCAGTCAGTCAGGAGATTAGCAGCCACAAATCAGCAGTCAGTAGTCTGTCTATCAGTCAACCTGAAAGCAGTCATTCAGGCAGTCAGTCATATAGTAAGTCAGAACAGGAGCTAGCTAGTTAGTAACTCAATTAGTCAATCGCAACTGTTGGTCAGTCAGTCAGTCAGGCAGTCAGTAAGTCAGACAGTCAGTCAATCATTCAATCAAAGTTAGCAGTTAGTCAATCTGTCATTTAATCAGTCAAAGTCGACAAAAAGATAAACCTGGACATAAGTGTGACCACTCTACGCCACGTATTCTTTCGTTCAACTCAAACCTGGACATAATTTAAAGCTGCAGCTCTTTGTTTCCATGGATTCCCCTTTGCAAGGTTTTCCACCATTTGTTGGAGCTGGATTTGTACAATCACGCAAGCGCTTCTGTAAACCTTCACCACAAGTCTTTGAACAGGGAGTCCACATGGACCAGGTAGACCAGTTACCGTCCACTAATGAAGAGAGACAGGAAAATTATGAGAACTAAGCAAACGTTAAAAACGATGAAAACACACGCAACGCAATGAATAAATTACTCGTTCGTTCATTCATTCATTCATTCATTCATTCACTCATTCACTCATTCACTCATTCACTCATTCACTCATTCACTCATTCACTCATTCACTCATTCACTCATTGACTCATTGACTCATTGACTCATTGACTCATTGACTCATTCACTCATTCACTCATTCACTCATTCACTCATTCACTCATTCACTCATTCACTCATTCACTCATTCACTCATTCACTCATTCACTCATTCACTCATGAATTGGTTCGTACAGTCAGTCGGTCAGTTAGTCAGGGTCTAGAGTCAATCAGTTAGTGAGTCCGTCAGCTGGTCAGTGGTCAGTCAAGCAGTCAGTTATGATAAGTCAGTGAGTTGGTTCAGCTGAACAGTCAAGTCAATCAATTTATCAATCAATCAATCAATCAATCAATCAGTCAGTCAGTCAATCAATCAATAAATCAATCAATCAGTCCGTCCGTCCGTCCGTCCGTCCATCCATCCATCCAGCCAGCCAGCCAGCCTTCCATCCATCCATTCATCAATCAATCATTCACTCAACGAGTCAGTTTGTCAGCCGGTCAGTCACTCTGAGTCATTAGTTATACCACACTACACTACGGTTCTCTTACTATTCGTTTAGCTCAAACCTGGACATAATTTTAAACTGCAGCTCTTTGTTTCCATGGATTCCCCTTCACAATGTTTTCCACCATTTGCCGGAGCTGGATTTGTACAATTTCGCAAGCGCCTCCGTAAACCTTCATCACATGTTTTTGAACAGAGAGTCCACATGGACCAGGTAGACCAGTTACCGTTCACTGATGAAGAAAAAATAGCGAGCCGGGAAAAGAAAACTAAGCGAGGTCGGCAAAAATGCATATAATGCAATCAATTTGTATTTTTTACTTCCTTCGTTTGTTTATCATTTCATTCATTCTGTCAGTCGGTCAGTTCCGTCGATTAATCAAGCGGTCTGGTCAGGGGTCATTCACAGAGTCGATCAGTCATCCAGTTAGGGAAACATCAGGAGTCAATGAATCAATAGTGAGTCCGCGAGTCCGTCACATAGACATTAAACAAATCCATTAATCAGTCAGTCAGTCGGTAAATTAATCAACCACATTTGGCTTTTGGTCAATCTGTCAGTAAATCAGATAATGTCAACAAAAAGTTAAACCAGGCCATTAGTGTTACCAAACTACCTGACTTGATGTTTAACTCAAACCTGGACATAATTGTAAACTGCAGTTCTTTGCTTCAATGTATTCTCCTTTACAAGGTTTTCCACCATTTGCTGGAGCTGGATTTGTACAATTTCGCAAGCGCTTCTGTAAACCTTCATCACATGTCTTTGAACAAGGAGTCCACATGGACCAGGTAGACCAGTTACCGTTCACTAATGAAGAGAAAAAGAAAAGTAAGCGAAATTAACAATGATAAGAAATACAAATACTGTAATGAAGTTTTAATTTGTTCAATTGTTACTTCATTGCTCTCGGTCAGTCAATCAGTCGGACACACAGGTAGACAGACAGTCAGTCATTCAGTCAGTCAGTCAGTCAGTCCGTCAGTTGGCCATTCAACCGCCCCATTTGTTTCGTCATGTTGCCAGTAAACCTGTAAATGTGACCAGATCAGTCAGTGAACCGATAAACCAATAAAGCAAGTTAGAACTGAAGACCATTGGGCAAACTATAAATACCGGATCTATTTTTTTTCACTCCGAAAACAACTCCTTAGCAGGTGACTCGAATAACTTCAACAAACTGTGTTGAAGCAATGTTTATGAACGTACCTGGCCTTAGCTTATAGACAAAGCTGGTGTAAAGCTTTCCAACTCCATATCCATCTCTGCCAACCCTACAGTTGCGGGATTCACCAGATATATTATACGTCGACGATGCGTTTATTCCTGTGTAGTTAACAAGAAGCAGTTTTTGACAAATTAATTCATAACTGTAAAGATTGGTCGTCGTTCTTTTTTTTTTGATTTGTTGGTTGATGGGTTCACTCGTTCAATGACCATTTTTATTAATCATAGCTATTATATAATCCTCTAGCCTTATTGGTTAGCCATATCAGGCCCAATTTTGGTAGTTTATACCTACGTTATATTATCAGGTGGTTGCATAACCTGCGATTTTAATTAGGCGTCGTTTTGTTTTTTTATTTTGTCAAAAAAGGACGCTTGATCGCAGGTTAGTGGTTGCACTGGAATGGATTCCTTTTTTCACGAATCTAGAGGCAATCTCCAGTGTTTGCCTTTTATTTATTAAAGTTTAAACCTTTCTTTTTCCTTAAATTTCGCTATAGGTGTGAAGGATTGCATTGGTGACAAGACCTCGTAGTCTCTACGGCACGCGCAGAAAACTGAAAACACCCGCTAAACCCCAGAATCTGGGCGAATCCTACTGTGAAAAACCCCAGAATCCAAAGCTTGACTAATTCAGCCAATTTGGGACAATTTAGCGTTGAAGATTACCTCCCCAACATTCCTGTTGATATTGTATTCCAAAACACGAGAAGTTCTTGATTTCGGCCTGTTCACTGCAGGCTTCCGCCAGTGGTTTTAAATTTGGCCAAAGCACATCAACATCGAGATCACTGTCAGTCGGAGTGTGAAAATGGTCTGGAAGAGCTGAGTAATCGAAGTTATTAAAACATCCCACAGCATCCCAATCATCAACTGAATAGAAACGGAAACAAAATTCACTGATTTAAGAGTATGATTAATATCTCGGAAGACATAGCAAAACTAAAACGATCACGTCAGCTCCGTGTTAAAATAATCTTATTCTATTGCTTATCTTTAGATTTTTTAAAAAATGGCCAGTACACTCGCAGGCCTCTTTTCAGTGGAATAGGAAAGCCAAAAAGCCAAGATCATTTATGTCTCTAAACCTGAAAAAACAGTGTTGCTACTTTATTGAACATTGTGGAGAATCAATTACAATTCAGTTAGCACTTGTCAATCAAATCGTTCACATGGTTCATTTCGCTCCTTCACGGTGCAGCCGAACTAATCTTTTTATCTACGGTAATTTCAGGAAGACAACACAGAATAAATTTTTGTTGCCTACTGACACATGCATTAACACTGACATATAGGTACATAAATCTTACGTGAACCCGCAGAGATGCAAAATAATACAACGCTAACACTGAACCAAAATAGGACCGCCATCTTCACCAAGAGATCGTCACCCTGAAATAACAAAAAATATCCAGGAATTCTTTTTTTAAGGTAATTAACCTACTAATCATATCTTTTTGTCCAGCATAATCGGATTTTTTTCATTTTAATACACGGTAGTTAATTTTATGAGAATGTTCACTGTGTTTGGTTACAACATTGCTTTATCTTTCGCTGCTCGCGACTTTGTGAGAAAGTCTACACTAGTTTTGTCTTATCCTACTAAAATAGAACTATCGAACAAAGCGTTTTCCCCACTATAATTACTCCTCATATCCTGGCATTATCTGTTAGAGAACAATAAAAAGAGACTTTCCACATAGAGTAAAGGCACTAGTAAGTAAAATTTAACACATTGCAAAGACCAACGTTGTAGTAAAATGAGACATTCCATACGGAAAGTATTGATGAATTGAATGTTGGGTTAAATTTATATCAGCTTACGTCTTATTCCCCTTCTCGTAGTTTGCTTGACCATGAGCAGAATAGTTTTCACTTATTTGACAGACAAGAGTAAATTTTTATTGTTTGTTCACCTAGTTTACCAATGTTCAATGTTACTTTGCTCAGTTCATTCATCACCATGGAAACTTTAGACAGTACATCAACACAGTTCAGAGTTTCGTTGATATTACCATTGAATCTTTGATATTTACGGCTGTTTATCTCTGTGCAGTCATAAAAGGCTACCAAGTAATCTTGTAGAAGATTTTAAGACATCTAACCTCTCGGCTTTAACACTGACTTTTTTTGCGGACATGTTTAAAATTAAAAACAAATACTGTTTGTCATATTTATCTGATTTGTCTGATATTTATGAAACAAATGCGCAGGTTTATATTTACAGTGATGCAACATCCTGCGAGGAAAAAAATTATATAATGAAGAAATTTTCGGCGATGGCTGGAGCGTGTACACATGACTTCGTGGCGCCTTCGTGACTTCGTGATGTTCTATAGAGGACAACCGGTAAAATGGAGTTTGACCCAGCTGATAAGTAAGACTCAATAAATTGTTTTTGACGTATTGACGACAGCCGGTCCATAAAAACAGATTTTGCCTGGCACATGTCAGCTCTTCAATTTGTGCGCACAGAAGACACTTTCACAAGTGGTCACTGTGATTTGACACTCGGCCGCTTCTGTGTTCCTTGCCTCCTGAATTCATAATGCATACCCATACTCCAGTTCAACGACCAGCAAAAATCCCTTTCATAGGGTTTTGTTCCTGTGATCCCAAAAACTGTTTCTTGTTATCTTGCTCCCGGCTAACACATTTTGCCCTAGTTCCCCTGTTCCCCAGTTGAAATTGACCATGTTCCCGTGTTCCCGTGTTCCCGTGTGTTCCCATGTGTTTCCCAAAGCCCCTGTATGTAAACATACATACATACATACATACTTTATTGTTACCTCCCCAATGGGGCTTTTCAGGAACAATTACTTAAATTACTAAGTTACTAATAACTACACAATCAAAATTAATCAAATTTTAAAAAAAACATTTACAACATTATCTAAACTTTATAGTCGCGAAAAATACTAAAAATAAATGAAGTTTAGG